GCAATTTTTGAGGTAGGACCAAATTTGATTGTTTAGAGCCTTGGCTTTATATAAACTTTTCCCTTCTAGTAATTACAGAACTTATGTAAGATATATGGGTAATTTTCTCTAATTTCTATTTAGCCTCGACTATCTAGCTACATACACACACACACAAAGTTAATTTAAAGAGTACACTAGAAAAAAAAAAAAGGTGTAGCATGACAACACATATCTATTATTTAACTAATAAGAATATTCCTTCTCAACTTTACTTGTAATAGAAAGTAAGTACAATACTTGCCCAATAAAAATAAAAAAAATTACTTACCCAAAAAAAAAAGTAAGTACAATTGATTTCCAAAAGACATGTAGCACACTAAACTAGTTAGTAATATTCCTCCTTGCCTGAAATTGAGAGGAAGTACAATTGTTATCCCAAAGATATGTAGCACACTAAAGAAGCGCACTAAATAATTAGAGAGTGCATCATGACATAAGCATACACACATGAGCACACATCACCGACAATATAGCTGTTCCTTAGAAATAGATAGAGATAAAGAGCATCACGAAGCCCATGAGAGTAGCAACACCACAATTCAAGCTCACCATCCCCACCATGCTATCAGGAACGATAACAAACAAATGAAGAGGGAAGCCCACAATATACAGCCAAAGCCCAAGTCCTATTAGGGCCTTGATCTTCCTCATCCCTTTCACTGACTGTGAGCCAAAGACTATAAGAGCCAGTTGCCCCATAGACACCATAAGACACATTTGGTAAATGACAATGAGGACCTTGATGGCAATTGCCCTTTCAGTTGTGTAGGTAAGGTAGGTGGGAAGGAGAATGGCACTTGAAGCCTCATATATGCCCTTGATTTCTTCTGTTTTATTCATCTCTCCCAGTGTTAGAGTGGGGGTGTTTGATGGCAAAGCTTGGTTCATATGGTTAGGTTGTGGTGGACTCATGCAAACTTTTGGCCAAAGGCAAGAGATGTTTTGGCCCATGGTTTAAACTTTAGCCTAAAATGAGAGGAACAAAGCTTACGGTTAATGGAATGAGTGAGATTATGGGTGGGACTCAAGAGTGGAATGTGTCAAATTTGTTGAGAGTGAGAAGATTATATATTGGGGGAAAGACATAAATTACTTCCCAAGTGCGCCACTCAATTATGCTCCTCCTCAAAGGAAGAAGGGGATCCCATTACTGGCAAATTGACCCAATGTTAGCATAGGATTTAAAAAAAAAAAAAAAACCTTGAATTTTTAATGCTCAGCACGGTAAGAAGAAGCCCGACAACACTAGTGTTTGGACTTATCGGAACTGGACTGGCCATTGAACCAGGTAAGGTAGGGATGTTTAGCAGAACTAGTTTTAAAATAGAAGAGTAATGTAGGAATGGTAGCTTAAACGTATGGTATATATTTAAAAATATTGTCCAACTTTGTTCAACTGGTCCTATGGGTTCAAAATGGCTGTTTATATATCTCTAACTTTAGTTTTGATGAATTTTCAACGAAATTTAGTTTTTGCTATAGACCGGACCAACAAAAACATTGGTGAGTTCAGTGGTTTAGAGGAAGTAAGTACATTATCATATTTAATTGAGAACGTGTATGGACCATGGTCAGCCATTGGTCGCGGACACTGTTACATTGTCCATGGATCATGACCAGGCTTACAGCGAAACAGCATTGCAGTCCCCCTTTCCACGACATGAAACAATTGACTCTGCTTTCTCCAAAGAAGTTCAACTAAATTGACATCCATCGTATAAAAAATTATAAAAAGTTCAACTAAATCCACATCCATCGTATAAATTTTTTTTAAAAGTTTTGACTACCTTGTCTCCATCAAAGAGACCTGGATGATTCCATTACATAGGAAGCTTGACACGTGTTGCTTAAAGAGGATTGCCGATAACAGACCATTTATTTGCCTAGATGACTTCACGTTATAATCAATTTATTTTATAATTTTGGGAAGAGAAATAATTTTGTGAGACACCCATGTGTATAAAGCCCCAAAAGACAAATCTCACACCTATGTGATAACTTTTCTAAAAATCTGTGCCAAATTTAATGGTGATCCTTTGAAATCCTACACACATAGGTGTGGGAGGATCTCATAAGATCATTATTTTTTTGGAAAATGTCCAAGGAGTGTTTGGCCATTTTTTCCCTGACGAGTACAGACGCAACACGTGGTTAGTTACGCATCATGTAGGGCCGGCAACGACCGGCCCAGGCCCGACAAGGCTAGGCCTAGACCAGGCCAAAGAGGCGTTGGCCCTAGCCATATCAAGACCGGGCTTGATAGAAGAAAAACAAAAAAAAAAGGAAATTTTAAAAAAAATAGGGCCGGGCCAAGTTTAATGGGGCCAACCTGGTGTGGGCCAAGCCTAGCTCATCCCTCAAGCGGTGGTGGCATGGGTCTTCGTGCCACATTTTATTGCACCAGCCCATTGCCACCCCTGATATAATTCATGCCTTCCAATGTGTATCCATGTGTTTGGGCAGATGATAAATTAATCCGGGTCCAAGCGGCTGACCCTCAATGCCTTGGTTCTTTATGGCTTGGAAGAAAATGGAGGTGGTACCACTCTGGCTAGTGAGGACACCCTCTTCCCTATACCAGCAAAAGAATTGCTGGGCCCTTCTAGCTTTTTTGAACCTGAGAGGGCCTGATATGAGGTACTGGCTTGTGTTCAAAATTAAATGATAGAATAAGATCCACCACAAGTCTCAAAATTAAAAGATAGAATAAGATCTACCACAAGTCTCAGGATATGTTTGGAGGTACCCATTATTGTGGATAATTAATTGATTGTTTCAATAAAGTTAATGCTGATTACGAATTATCCATTATTTGGTAGTGTCTATCATAAAGTCATATGAGTATGAGTAAACTCATAGACGGTTTTACATAATTTTATCTTTTTAAGTTGTTTTTACTTTATTTGTAGTAATTTTCTAAAAATCACATATTTTAGGCTAGAAATAGCAAAAAAAATAGTTTAAATTTCTCTCAAAAGTTTAATAATAAGATAATATTATATGGTTAATAAATGGTCTAATAAGGGTAAGGACCTTAGACTTTCTCTTAACCCGTCCCAAGCCTAGATAGAGGAGGTGGGTTGCATCAAGTAGGCAACTAGTGTAAAACTTTGTCACATGTATCATGAAACCTAAACCTATGGAATGGAGGACGACGATTCATAAAACCGACCCCAAACAATTTGAATAAGGCTTAGATGATGATGGTGATTATATGTAAATAAAAAACACATGTCAAACAACTAGCAAAACTATATTATCTATGGTATATTAATTTTAGATAAGATAGTTTATTCCAAATAAAATTAATTGTCATCCAAATAAGTATTAGAATTGTTGTTTTGCCCTTATTAGCCAAGTTCTAAGAGCTCTATATGCCGAGCTAGCTGGTCCTGGATATTCCAATGGGACTTGTTAGATAGCGAAACACCGATTGCGTTTTGGTGTTTACTAAATCAATACATGTTGAGAGCTGGCAAAATTCTTGTATGTAATGGTATTTCTGGAATAACAATCAGGAAGGGTTGATTTGTAGATATTTCCCTGAAAATTTTCTCGACCTTCTCCCATGTGGTTACTCTTTCCTGCTTGCACTCATCTCGCTTGTACCTGAATCTACCAAGCTGAGGCATAACCTCCAAACTAGAGGGCCATGATTCTTTCATCTCTTCATTCACCTTGTTGGAGAAGAGCTCATTCACCTCATACCAATCTAGAATTGGTTGAGGTACAATTGGCCATGAAACTCAGGAAGGTCGACTTTGATTAGTACCTCCTTTCTTCTAGTAATCTAGCCAATCTACATGTCAGCGATCTCGAACCCTAAGATGTGCTCAATCATGGCCACCTATCTTCAGCATTATCTAGCAGGGCATGTATGTAAAATACAAAGTTCTAGATCAAAAAGAGAACAATTCAAGGTCATATAAACTTTGTTTTCAAATATGTATACTCAGTTGAACATATTAATCGAAAGCATGTACTCTTTGAGTCTTCAAGATAAGGAAAAATCTCTTAGGACTCAAAATTTGAGCTTCTTTTCTCTGCTAGTCAACAATGAATCTGATGGACTGTTGATACCATATGTATCTGTCACTTTTCACTGGTTACAAACTTTGACTTTCTTTCAAATTTAATGCAGGATGAAAGATTATAGAATATTCTGTTGTAGCCCATCACTAACACATATGATGTTATTACTTAGAAAAACATGGTAAAGTTGCACCTTTGGTTTGGAAATAGATCACTCTTCCAAAAACCAGGTGAGAGGCATTGGCAGGCAGTCTAGTTACAAATGTTTAGAAAAAGACTCGTACGGATAGTGATACAATTTCATGGGAAAGTTTACGATATTGTGGGAGATGGAGACCAAAATACTTGCATTTGATGTTAGCAGTAACAAATTAGACAAAGAAAGCATATCACACTATGAACTAAAGGCAGATTGAGATGTCCATCATAAGATACCTGAGTTTTGAAAAAACGATATTATAAAAGATCACAAGGACAAATAACTCTCTCTCTCTCTCT